AGAGAGAGAGAGAGAGAGAGAGAGAGAGAGAGAGAGAGAGAGAGAGAGAGAGAGAGAGAGAGAGAGAGAGAGCTGTGGGTGATGCAGCAATGTTTTGCCGGCTGGACAAGCAATGAACATTTCCCACATCTCTGACGGGGATACATCAATTTCTTCATTTTTTTTTATAACTACATTTACAAGACTATATTCTTCGTTCAATTCTCTCAAATTCACTTTTCAAGTTTTCACTACCTACCTACCACTACTCCTAAGGCTATACAGATGACCCTGCAATCATAGCTATCTCACAATGAAGAGATTACATGTTGGCCCCTGTGGTGGTCAGGGAGTAGGGTGGGGCTGCCGGTGGGGGCCTGGCTAACACAGACCGAGCATTTTGCCAGTAGCTGCACCTCCCTTTTCATTTTCAATGTTTTCATCTCCCCCCCCCCTCCCCCTTTCAAGCTGTTACTCGATGAGGGTGGGGGGAGATGAAAACATGGACTTCTAGCACCTTCTATGGGCAAAATGCAAAATGCAAAATGCAAAAAAAAAAAAAAAAAAAAAAAAAAAAAAAAAAAAAAAACCTCGCACATGCGTAAACCCCTTTCCAACACCAATGCAATGCTGCCCCCAGTCCGAAATTGTGTCCCCCATACAACACTTCAAACCACCCTTGCCATGCCCCTTCTATCTACAAAACACAGGCATGGAAATCACACCCTCCTAGACTGTTTATCCTTGGGGCTGCTGAATCCTGCATGTGCGGGATGGGCCCAGTCACTTTTTGCTTGAGACAAGGGGGTGTGGTGTTGACCTCCCATGTGGATGTGTGGATGGATTGTCCTGTTGCTCTCATCGTCCACACTGTCTTCATTATGTCGAGTGCAGTCCACTGAAGTGGAAACGTGTCTACTCTCATCGAGAAGCTGGAACCTGCCCTCTCCTTTCTCGCGCTCTGGAGTGAAGTGGGAAAGGAAAACACAATGCCATGCTCAACTTTCAAAGATCATGATGATGCACCTTGAGGAACAATCCAGGAACTTCAAGGCCCACTTGTCCCGGTAGAGAAGTCAGTCAAGGATCGTTTGGCCATAGCCAGTAAACGTCTGATCGAGAAGAGAAGGTGAGAAGAAGGCTCATCTGACGACAAGGAGGTGATCTCCATCTCCTTCTCATTGACAAGCGTTTCACACAAACTAACGACTTTCTGAACAGCAGAGAGGCTCAGCCGTAGTGTATCCTCGTCCTCCGGCGCCGCCGCCGCCTTCTCCCCCTCCTCCTCCTCCTTGTCCTCCACCTCCTCCTCCCCTTTCCATGGCTGCGGCGCCCTCTTCCCTCCATGCTCACGATCCGAGCTCATGGCCCCATTTCCTCTCGTTTTCCGCTCAGCTTGAGTCTTTTCCGATGCCGCTACTCTAATGTCCTTCAAAATCTTCAGCATGAGCTCGCACGCAGACCCACGCACAGCATTGCTGCTGTCATGTAGTTTCCTTCCCACTGTTTCCAGGAGGACATCCGGCTGAACTGAAGCTTCAAGGAGCAGGCTAGCACCATCGCTCAGCGTAAGGATGGCCAGGACTGCTCGGCATGCCTGTTCCCTGCATTTCGCGTCATTGTCGTCGTCAAGAATCTTCAACAAGTCATGGACGAATCCCTCCCGCAGGCGCAATTGCAGGGAAGGGTCAGCGGTTCTGCCCTTGGCTGAGAAGTCCGCCATGACTGCCCCTGACTCCACCACCGTCTCTGTCGTAGCCATGGCACCAAACGGCAGCATATCGAGGGGGGTGTTCACCTTTGAGAAAAACCCACACTCCTGGCTTTCGTCTTGTGGAGGAGCAGTGGAGGCCGTGAGCATGTGCGACAAGTACTTACCCACCCCCCTAGCACGCACCACGGTGACAGTGATGGAGGGGACCGCACCGGTGATTGCCTCCGTCATAGTGACAAACACTTTGAGGGCAGCCAGCCGTGTGTCTGAACCAGGACTCACAGACGGAACTACGACGTCCGTCAACAGGGCAACGATCCACCTGTGGTCAACCACAACCTGGATTCTATCGTCCTTGGACAAATCTTCCATACACTTTTTCTCATCTGTGTATGGCAGCGTCACAGACACTACACTCGCTCCGCTGCCAATGTCCTCGTCGATTCTCTGACTCGCTACAAGATCGGCGAGTTGAACTGGAACCTGTCGAGCTGGTAGCAGCAGGTGCTCTAGCAACCTGCATTTGAAAGAATCGCACACCGACGACGAGCTATCCATCGTGGAGGCAAGGAGAGCCACTAGTTTCGTTCCTGCCACATCAGCATGTCCTGCAGCCAGTTGGCTGTCGTCGTAGTGGCTTGTGTCATCACGGTAAGTTAAACGGGAATTCCTGCCTTGATGACCCCCCCTCCTCCAGAACTCATGCTGATGCAATAGGAAGCAGAGAATGTCTATGTTCACCGAGGTGCTTAACCTCGTCCACTGACGTGGCGGTGGGATCCATGTCACGATGCGGTCCACGTAGCGTTCAATCAAGCTGCTTACGTCGCTGAAGCCATTGATCTGGCTGAAGATAACCAAGCACTCATCGACCGCCTCGTGCAGCACGCTTTCGCTGCCGCTTCCCGTCCCCGATGCACGGAGATGCAGCAGAAGCCACAGCATCGTTGCGACATTGTCATCATCGATCATGGCATATTCATGTTGTGACAACGAGGAAGAGCCGCAGGAGAAGGACGAGGACGACAAAGGACAAGAGGCAGGAGCAAGGGCAGATGTTGTTGGCCCGCTGCTCTCCGTTGATGTGGACCTCCACGGCCAAGCGTATAACAACTCACGGGCAAGAGCAAGGCTTTCCCTCTTCAGCTGACTGTCCTTGTTGTCGAGGAGCTCACTGTCAACTAACGAGGAAAGAATCTGTACTACATGAGGTTTCATACGCATGATATGATTGGTTCCCTTGCTCCGCGAACCGGCAATTAAGCTAGCAAGTAGCTTGATGACTCCTGAGATCGAAGAGGCGACAGAATGATAGACATGCTGCACAGACAATCGAGGCAAGAGCACGGGAACATACACGGAAGGGTCCACGAAGTATCCAATGATGGCTGAACAGTCCACTACGTGCTCCTGGATCAGATCATCTTGGCAAAGCTTGCAAAAGGCAAGCAGAAAAGGGTGAAGATGCATTGTCACGCTATCCTCGCTATAAATAAGAAGAGTCTGCAGGAGCTGAACCGCATGACATCTAGTGTTTCCGGTCCAATCGTTCAGCTCTGCCAGAATGGGATGCTGCAAGTACGTTAGCGTTCCTTTCACCTTACGTCTGGCTCCCAAGCGGGGTCTCCTAGCAAATGGTGGCTTGCGGAGCAGTCTGGATGCAGGACCACCAAAACTAGCAGCAGCAGAAGAAGACGAGGAAGACGAAAGATGATCATGAGGAGGAGGAGGAGGAGGAGAAGCCGAGTCAAAAAAGTCCATTGCGACATCCTCTAGCATGTAGTACTTTGTCTCTTTGAGCTCATCTTTGTGATCAAGCTCATATTGTTCTCCAATGCTCTCCATCAAATTGAACGCGAGCTGCTGAAGTTTCGGCGATGGATCGTGGAAAGCGCACAGCACGTAAGGCAGGAGGCGCACCTCGTGGTCTGAGTGCTCTGGCATGTTGACCATCCAATCACCTACCATTCGCAGGAACGCCTCTCGGACTGACACGTTGTCATCCTTGGCTAGGCATGCAAAGTACTGCGTCCTTACCTGCACCTCGTAGAAGGCCTTGATTGGCACCAAGTTTGGATCTTTCCAGCCCACCAGCTTGAGGATAGAATCTGCTGCTCCTAGGGGCACCAGAACTTGAACAGCTCTGATCGAAGCGATGCGAACGCGGAAACGCTTGTGGCACAAAGCTGGCAGCAGGGCCTCAACCAATACCTTGGACACACTGCGCAGAGAGGTGCCTATGAGCCGAGCGAGTTCCTCTAGCCCCTTGGCCCCCTCTGCTAAGACCTCAGGGTGATTGTCCATCTGAGAAGCGACCAGCATGCTGGCGATCTCCGAGCCATATCTGGCTATGGTGTCCGGTTCGCCGGCTTTATGCATCAGCATCCTCACCATTCTCACCAAAAGAAGCCGGATCTCCTCGGAAGATTCCACAGGAGTCGCTCCGATGACCAGCAGACTTCTGTCACAACAGTCACTCTCATCATCCCCCTCCCCCCCGATCTGATAGCCAGGAGGCACAACCATCTGCAGCCTCTCTGACATGGCCGACACAACGTAAGCTAGAAGACAAAGCACTGCTTCCGGGACCACCATCAACAAGTCCAGCACTGTGGAAACAGCCATTTCTCGACAGCGCTCAGCCACATCATCGAATCGCCTCAGCAAAGGCTTCAGAACGTGATTATACACGATGACAGATACCACTTCGTTGGGAGGATCGCGATTCCCTTCATTGCCCGTCACCGCCCTCTTCACCTTACCATGTCCAAAAATAGCTTTTTTGTCCTCAACCTCGTCCCCTTTAACTCTATCTCCAGAGGACAGCACTAGAACACCTCTGCGTGGGAGTAGACACCGATTCAGGCGCTTAAGTGCAGAGAACCGCTGCTCAATCCTCGGGTCCGACAAACAGTTGACGTCCCGGTGCACTGCCTGAAGAAGCTTTTGGTAATCCACATCTTGGAACTCGTCACCTGAATCACCTGTGAACCTACTCCTATCCACCTCACATTGATTCTCTTTTTCCGCTTCATCTTCGGAATCCTCCTCCTCCTCCTCCTCCTCCCTCTCCTGCGTTATCTTTCTTGCTCTCTCAACGTTCTGATCCTCCTGCAGCTGCAGCTTCTGTTTGTCGTCTTGACCTGTCGTCGTTTGCTTTTCAGTTTTCTGTTCCTCCCCCTCATCCTCTTCCTTCTTCCCCAGTTTCTCTTCCCTGTCATCTTGCCGTCTGCTGGTCTGATTAACTGATTGATTGCTCTCTGCATCGTCGACTCGTGTGGAAAGGACTGCTGCCTTGGTGATTGCCGGGTCAAGATTAGGCGACTTGCTGATTGCGGGCGCAGCATTGCATGACTTGCTGGTTCCTGAGACAAGATGCGACTCGTTGGTCGCCGGGACCAGGCAGTGTGAGGTGTTCGATCTGACGAGTGTGCGGGAGTGACCGTCGCCCAAGAGCTGCTTGATTGAGGACAGCCGGTCTTTCTCAGGTCGTGATCGCTGCTGTTGCGTCGATGTCGGTCTTCCCCGATTCTTCTTGGATTCATTGTCGAGGATGCAGAGCTCGTTCCAGTTTCGGTTGAGCTGACGGTTTTTCTTTTCAGGCTCGATTACGGCCGTAGTACACCCTGGCGTGGGGCTGCGCAGTAGTTGCTGACGTGCTGACTCCTTGAGAGCTGCCCAGATATCGTTCACAGACTTTTTCTCAGAACTTACACAACAGTTACTCGACATTCTCCTCTGGTCCTTACTCTCTTGCCGTGCTTGCCGCCACGCTTCCCTTTGTCTCCCTTCCTCCGTTTCTTCCTTCACCTTTGCCCCTCCTTCTTTATTTGCTCCTTTTCGTCCTTCAATTGCGCTTTTCTTTGTTTTTCGGCGTAAGGTACGCCCACAGCATGATCAGGGACGTACAGCGGACTCACTCCCGGGCAGAGGCTCCCGCCGCTCTCGGTGGTCATGCTGAGAAAGGTGCAGCGATGAAAGCATTAAGCACACGCCCCGGTGACACAAAGGACTCAGGTCATCCAAATGATGTGAACACAGAATACATCCTAATGGAGTGCAATCTCTTGCAAAATGTCTTTCTGTCTTTCTCTATCGCTCTTAACTTCTCTTTCTCTATCGGTTTAAAATAAATTTTGCAATTGAGAGGTTGCGTTAGAATCAGAAGAGGGGAAAAAAAAAGAAAAGAAAAAAGGATTCAGAAGAGGGTTCAGGATTAGGCAAATTTTACCAATGGCCGGTAGCTCAGTCTGTCTCTCTCTCTCTCTCTCTCTCTCTCTCTCTCTCTCTCTCTCTCTCTCTCTCTCTCTCTCTCTTTTGCGAGCGCCATTTTTCAAACGGATCGGAACAGATACTGCACTTGATCGTCATGGTCGTCGTCATTTTTGGGGGCGGGTCAGATATCAAACTGATCGCAACAGATACTACACTTGATCGTCATCGTCGGTTTGGGGGGCGGGGTAGTTAGTTTGGGGTCTCTCTCTCTCTCTCTCTCTCTCTC